GGGCCATCCTCTGCTGCTTTCCCAGACATATTAGCAGGAAGCTAAATGGGAAGTGAAGCAGCCAAGACTGAATCATTGTCCGTATGGAGTGTCAATCCTGCAGACAGAGGCTTCACCTGTTATCACACAGGCTTCTGGTCAGGATTTCATTGTCTGCTCATTATGACAGGTGCGCTCATGGCAGGTGCTGTCTGAGCGTGAGTTCACACGGCTGCTATGCCGCACACCGGGACGGGAGTCCAGTGTTCTTTCCATTCCAGCTTAGGGCTGACAGTCGCCTGGCCTCCCCTTCCCCTGCCTCTGGAGTGGGGTGGAGGTTACTAAGACTCCTAAAGTAAGAAAACAATGTGTAGGAAGTTCCAGAAAGCTTTACTCTGTGCCAGCCTCTTGAGAGGTTTGCAGCTGCTGACGGTGAGCAAATCGCCTTAAAGAGGAGTCGGTGATGTTCATGAAATACCCGTATTCATTTATTTAAAAGTCAGAGTTACAGAGTGTGTGTGGGGGGGTGATCTTCCACCTGCTGGTTCATTCCCAAGATGACTACAGGGGCTGAGCCAGCCTGAAGCCAGGAGCCAGGAGCTGTATCCAAGTCTCCCATGTGGGTGGCAGGGGCCATCAACTGCTGCTTTCTACAGTCCATTAGCAGGGAGCTGGAGTGGAAATGAAGCCGCCTGCACATCTGTATGGGATGCCAGCATTGCAGGCAATGGCATTACCCAGTAGGCCAAATGCTGGCCCCAGTTTTTTCTATAACCCTCCTTAATTCTCTATGGGCCCTCATATACCTTATTTAAACGGTTATACATTTACGCATTTGCTCATTTACTTACTATGAAATGGGCAGCCTTTACTTAATCATGTATTTCATCCACTCAAAATCCGTTTGTGTTTAGAAAACAGGACAACGCTTCAAACTAAACATTCTAGACTGTATCCGAATGAGTGGAAGGGCCTAGTTGCCTGGTTGTTGGGAGGAGGATCTGGTGAGGCCGGTGTGAAATCTGCCAGGTGGGCTGCAGGGCCAGGGGCTTTGGTGGGCATGGTTTGGGGTCAGTCCCACCCAGACCAGCAGAGTTGATTCTCACTTAAAGCCAACTGATTATGAATAAATGTTATTCACATATACCCTAACAGTGACCCCTGGGGGCACACATGAAGCCATAGGTCTCCCCAAACCACTGTGCCATGCCAGCGACTGAAGGAGATGGTCTTGATGAGGCGTGGGTGAGGAGGCTGAGGTTGGTGTTGGGAGTGGATGGGTGAGCGTCAGTACCATCCTAAGGGAGGGGTTAGAAGGGGGCAGATCAGATGTAACTTGGCCAGAGAACAACCCTCTTGAATTAGGAGAACTTGGGTCTGTTTCACAGCCTCTTGATAGAACAGCTTAACCTTGAACTTGTACCTTCAACTCAGATGATCATTGTCTAGGTTCTGAAAATGCGGCTCTGGATACCCCATTTTTGAGTTCTACTGTTAGCCAGGCGCTACTGGCAGCCTGGAAGGCTCCAATGAGGTTGCAACTGGGGTGGCTGGGGAGGGTTTGGGTCAGAATCCAGGATTTCTTTTTAGGGTATGGAAATGTTTTGGAATTGACCGTGGTGATGGCTGCATAGCTGCAACTAATAAATAAACTGTAGAGAGGATGGGTTATATCTTTAGGAAGTTATCAGCAGAATCCCCCTGTTGTCCCCTCACTCGCTGTGTGACCTTGTAGGGTGACCACTCTTTTTGGCCTCAGCCAAGGGGCAGGGGGTGGTTGTTGGTGGTGGTGGCAGGCCAGAGAGCTCTGAAGGACCAGGCTGGGGTTGGAGCCCAGATGCTCCCAATCGCCAAAGCACTGGCGTCTGAGCCAGGAGGCAGCACTAGTTTTTTGCTCAGAGCTGGTGGGGCACCTTCTTTGCTATTCTGACTCACATCATTTTGAGCCGCGAAGCTGCACACCCTGACGCCAGCCTTCCCCCACCCTCCCCTTTCCTTCCAACTCCAACGCCTGCGGCTCTCTCACTTAGAACACTTTCCAAGGAGAAAAGCTGCGTGGCATCCAGAAGCCGCTCCGAGTTAACAGGGCGTGGCGCACAGCCCCTGCCAAGGGCTGGGCTTTTGAGCTGACGGAACGTTTCCAAGAGCCAGCCCTGCCTCCCTCCAGCTTCACCTCGACCTCACCGTGTGCATTACGATTCTGTTTACTTGCAAGGGATGTCGGGAGTCTGCGCCTAGGCTGTGCCCAGAGCCAGGAAACTGGGCTCTCTGGAGACCCCTATTGGCGGGGAGGTGGCAGTGCTGGGGCGCACAGCCAGCTAAAAATAAAAGTCTGGCAGGAACTTGGACCGGGACACAGGTAGATGGGAGTGGGGCAAGGGGAGGCGGAGACCCATTCACCTCGCGGACCCCCTCAACCTGCAATGTGTGTGGGGGGACTAGGTAGGTGGGGGAGGGCAGGTAGCTCCTTAGCCCAGCACATAGTTCCCAGCCCCTGTTATAGAGGTGCTGGCTTGGGACCACACAGGGTGATTAGAGCCAGATCCACCTGGCCACAATAACGAGGAAGGTCCTCTGCTGCCCAGGGGGAATATAAAAAGTAAGTGACAGAATTTTAGAGTTCTAATAGTCACATTTTTAAAAAAAACTAAACAGGTGAACTTACGTGTAACAATATATTTCATGTAATCTAACAGCATGTGGACCGTTTCAACATGTCATCAATATAAAACAGGAATACAATAAATTCCCTCTTTTTGGGCATGGAGCCTTCCAAATCTGATGTGTGATTTAGACTTAGAGCTCGTCTCCGGCTGCAGTAGCTGCCCTTGGAGTGTGCCAGGCGCCTTCTCTGGTGGCACTAGCTCAGTCCTGCAGGTTCAGGGCCTAAAGCACCACAGGCATGCAACCTTTCGATTCTGGGGGCTGCAAGGCTGAGGTCAAGGGATTGGGCAGGACTGTGCTCCCCCTGGGTGCTCAAGGGGCTCCTGTGCTCCTCGGCTTCCGGCCTCTGCCCGGGGAGGCTCCACTGTCAGATTACGTAGCTGCTTCTGGGGCCCCCTGGCCACCTCTGCCTGGGACTCCCTGGCTCTGTGCTACACTGATGCACTTGGCTTTGCAAATGGTCTGCCTCCACACCCCACACCTCATCCGAGAGTTCAGTCCCCAGGGGACCATGGCCCACCTGCCACCCATGTGAGAGACCAAGATGGAGTTCTGGGCTCATTGCCTAGGCCTGCCCCAAGCCCGGTTGATGCAGCCATTTGAGGAGTGAATCAGCAGATGGAAAACGTCTCTCTCTCTCTCTTTATCTCTCTTGCTCTGACTTCCAAGTAGATAAAACATATCTTTTTTTTAAAAAGTGATGGACTTAAAGGTTTGCCCTGGACATAGCCTGATCTTGGTTCAAGTCTGGGTTCCTGGCACTTGCACGATCCAGGTGAGTGACTTAAAAAAAAAGATTTATTTATTTTTATTGGAAAGGCAGATATACAGAGAGGAGGAGAGACAGAGGAGATAGAGAGGAAGATCTTTTTTTTTTTTTTCTTGATTATTCACTCCCCAAGTGGCTGCAGTGGCCAGAGCTGAGCCCATCCAAGGCCAGGAACCCAGATCTCCCACATGGGTGCAGGGTCCCAAGGCTTTGGGTCATCCTTAACTGCCTTCCCAGGCCCTAGTTGGATGGGAAGCTGGGTGTCCAGACACCAACTGGCACCCATATGGTATATTGGCATGTGCAAGGTGAGGACTTTAACTACTAGGCTACCGCGCTGGGCCCCAGGTGAGTGACTTTCACTCTTGAAGCCATCAGGGAGAGACTGTCAGCATGGGCCTGGACTACTGCTGAGCCCCACCAGGTAGCAGTGCCTAGGGTGTGTGTCCCTGACTTTCCTATGGGGCAGCCCCTTTGAGTGTCAGACTATGAGTATGCCTCCATTACAGAGAAAGGAAGACTGAGGCTGGGGGGGGGGGTGTTCCTGCCAGCACCCCAGGCTCCAATGCCTCCTGCCAAAGTGATGGCACTGCCTGGGACTCAGCAATGGGCTTTTCAAACTCTCTCAGTGACACCAACTGTTACAACCACATGCACTACGAAACCTCAGAAGAGATTTTTAAAAATCCTTTGGCTTTAATACACATTCAAAAGGACAACCTCTGCCCAGTGGTACAGAGGCCCTGGGTCAAGGTTGGGAGGTGAGTGCCCCCCTGCTTCTCAGTGGATGGCTGATGTGGAATTGTGGCGAGCACAAAAGGCGGGGCCTCCAAGCAGGGTGGGTGACAAGTCCATATCCTTGCCTACACCCTCTTTCCGGCTCCCGGGAGCTCTGGACAAGCTCCTGGGTCCCACCTGGATGATGTGCAAAGGCGCTCTACTCCAGGAGGGACTGGATGCAGGGGCTGGCATGGGCCCTGTGTTCAGCAAGCTGAGCTGCCAGACCCGGGGTTGCAGGTGCGCCACAGCCCAGGTCAGCCTACCTGCTGGTCCCGGGATTGAGGGGGGAACCTAATGGCTGAGGTTCCTGTGTGTGTGCAGAACTCCTGCAGCCCAGAGACCTTGAGTTAAGCTTTCTGGACTGAAAAGAGCCATGGAGGTCTTTAAATCCGAACTCTGCACAATGGCCTCCCCACCTCCCAGTGCAGCCTCCTGGATCAGCTTGTTTGCTTCCAGGATGGACAAGTCGGTCCAGGCTTGGATGGACTGAGCCACACTGGCACCCTGAGCAGGGAGAGAGCAAACTCATGGCTGGTTCTCTCTGGAGTCCCTGCAGAGATGTGCCTATCCCAGGAGCTTCTCCACCTAGATCCTATAGCTCCGATTCACTAGCTGTGCCCCAGGCTGGGTCCCATTCTGTCCCCATCTTGGGTCAAGTCCAGCTCAACAGTCAGGGCTAGTGTGGCTCCAAGGTCTCCCAGTGCTGTGGTTAGAATTATAAGGAATAGCATTGCCCATTTAGGTGAGCAGATGGCCAGCTGGTCAACCTGCCGGTCCTGCAAGTGCCAGTTTAGTTCTGTGTTCCAGGATCTTACACGTCAAGGGCAGATGGCACAGTCATCCTGCTGAACTCCCCGAGGAGCCCCACCTGTCCGTCTGCCTAAGTACTGGTCTCCACGATGCACTTGAGGAACATGGTGTCGTCCTTGACATAGGCATGCTTGGGGGACTGTAGCTTGTTGAGGGGGAAGAAGAGTGGGCAGCCGCTGGCCACGTTGGTTTCGCTCTGGGGCCTCTGGAAGGAAGCTGAGCTGAGGTCCGGCCGGAAGGCATCAATCGCATGTTCCCGGTTGTTCTGATCGAGCAGCATGAAGGTGACCTGCAGGGCGAGAGGTATGGGGAGATTAGGCCTGGACAGTGGCCCTCAGACCAGACCAACAAGTGCTTGGCTTAGAGCCAACTCTGTGCCCATTGACAACTTAGCCCCTTGGATCCTTAACTCAGAACGTGAAATAAGAGATGACAAAAGGCCTGCACCTGCCCTTCTGAGCAGTCTTGGGGCTGTCCTAAGCTTAGGATCTCATGTTCTACCCAACAGAATCTACAACTGGTTGACTGTTGGAGGCTAAAGGTGAGGTTGGAGCACTGACAAGAAGGCTGGACTCAAAAACCTCAATGTGTTTTCTGGTTCAGTTTTGATGTGTCAGTTCCAGCCAGAACCTCTTGGGACAAGGCAGCAGAGTAAGGCCTGGTAAGTCCTCTATTGAGGGGCTGTCAATCAATGCCCTGAAACATTGCTGGTCATCTGCAAGTGACACACGAGTGGGCAGGTGTTTGGTGGGGAAGCTGTTGAGACATGGCTTGGGGTGCCCACATGCCCTGTGGAAGGACCTGCTTCTGTTGATTCCAGTTTCCTGCTAATGTGACTCTGGGAGGAAGCCTGTGGAACCCATGTGGGAGATCTGGGTTGTGCTCCAGGCTCCTGGCTTCAGCCTGGCCCAGCCCCAGCTGTTGTGGTCACTTGGGAAGTGAAACAGCAGATGAAAGATCTCTCTCTCTCTCTCTCTCTCTTGCTCTCTCTTTCAAAGTTATTTTAAAATTTTTAAAATTAGGGACGGTGCGGTGGGCTTGGGATGCTTGCATCTCACATTGGAGTGTTTCTTCAAGTGCTGGCACCTCCTGCCTCTGATCCAGCTTCCTGCTAACTCAGCCCAGGAGGCAGCAGATAGCTTAAGCACACTGCTTCCCGGCACTCCAAGGGGAGATGCAGATGGAATTGCAGAATGCAGGCTTTGGAGGGACTCCGCCCCAACCGGTACAGCCATTTGGAGAATGAACTGGGGCACAGATGTTTCTTTATCTGCAATTCCACTTTTCAAGTGGATGAAAAGAAATCATTGAAAGAAATAAAATGATCAAAAGCAAGGAACCCTTCCACCCCGGCCTGTAGATCTGGCCTGCCTATCAGGAGCCTCAAGTTGCCTTCCCCTCTATCCTGAAGACTGTTTTAACCTTGGCTGCCTAGAGCCCGCAGATCTGATGTTCAGGTCTTGGGCTCACTGGGATGTGTCCCCATTGCTGGCATTTTAAAAGCCTCCTGGAAGGCCTGGCACAATAGCTTGATGGCTAAATCCTTGCCTTGCAAGTGCCGGGATCCCATACGGGTACTGGTTCATGTCCCAGCTGCTCATTTCCCATTCAGCTCCCTGCTTGTGGCCTGGGAAAGCAGTGGAGAATGGTCAAAGCCTTGGGACCCTGCACTCATGTGGGAGACCTGGAGGAAACTCCTGGCTCCTGGGTTCAGATGGGCTCGGTTGTGGCTATCTTGGCTGTTTTGGGAGTGCGCTGAGTGGACTCTTTCTTTCTGTAAGCCCGATTGGCTTTTCCAACAAAAATAAGCAATAAATCTTTTTTTTTTTTTTTTTAAGCCTCCTGTTGCCTGGCAGCGTGGCCTAGTGGCTAAAAGTCCTCGCCTTGAACAAGCCGGGATCACATATGGGGGCCAGTTCTAATTCCAGCAGCTCCACTTCCCATCCAGCTCCCTGCTTGTGGCCTGGGAAAGCAGTCAAGGATGGCCCAATGCTTTGGGATCCTGCACCCATGTGGGAGACCTGGAGGAAGTTCCTGGCTCCTGGCTCCAGATCAGCACAGCACCAGTTGTTGTGCTCACTTGGGAAGTGAATCATCGGGCGGAAAATCTTCCTCTCTGTCTCTCCTCCTCTCTGTGTATCTGACTTTGTAATAAAAATAAATAAATCTAAAAAAAAAAAGCCTCCTAGCTCCTTTGGAAACCAATTCCCACTGACCAGTGGGGTGCACCTGCCTCCCCCACCAGCCCGCCATCTGTGTTCCAGATCCTGCTTGCTCCCCACTTGACATAACTTTATTTTTAGGGGAGTTTTAGATCCAGGACAACATTGAGCAGAAAGTACAGAGATTTCTCATAAATTTCTGGTAGGTGCCCTGTACCAGAGAGGTTTCTCCCCAGACAACACTTCCAGCCCCCAGGGTGGCACACCTGTAACAACCAAGACGTCTGTGGACATAGAGAATGCATCGCATCATCTGGCCCCCAGGACGCCAGCACAGCGAGGACTTTCTCCTCCCCCAAATCCTTGGGCTGCACATATTCATCTGTCCGTTACTCCCGATCCTTGGCAACCACTGAACTTTTTTTTTTCTTAATTATTTATTTACTTATTTGAAAGCCAAGGAGAGAGAGAGAGAGAGAGACCCCCTCCGTTCACTGGTTCACTCCCCAAATGGCTGTAACAGCCAGGGCTAGGCCAGGGCATGGCTGAGAGAAATTCCATCTAGGTTTCCCAAAGAAGTGGTTGGAGCTCAAATACTCGAACCATCTTCTGCTGCCCCTCTTGGCGCGTTAGCAGGAAGCTGAATAGAAAGTGGTGTCACCTGGGCTTAATCAGGCACTGAGACATGGGATGCTGGTGCTTCTAGTGGCAGCTTAATGTGCAGTGCCACTTGCTTGCTCATATTCTGCCTCTTCCAGATTGTCACAGAGTTGGATTCACGCAATAAGCCTGGCTTTTCAGACGGCCTTCTTGTAGTATGCATGTCTGGGTCCTCCAGGTTCCTACATGCCTTGACAGTGTTTTGTTTGTTTTCTTTTTAGTGCTGCGTGATTATTCACTCATATGCCTCACAGTTTATCTGCCAAAGGGCATCTTTGGTTTTCTCCAAGTTCTGGCAGTTATGAATATGGTTGCTATAAGCATTGTGTGCAGGCTTTCTCAGACATCTTCGGGAAAATAGCAAGGACTGTAACTGCTGAGTTCCAGGGGAACGGCGTGTCTAGTTTTTACAGGTACGACTGGGCTCTCTTCCAAAGGGCTGAACCAACCAGTTGGTGCACCAGCCATGACAGAGTGCTCCTATAGAGCACCCAGTGTTGTCAGGGTTCTAGATCTGGGCACCTGCAAGCGAGTAGGCGTGTCGCTAGTGCAGGCTGGCCCCACAGCGCCTCCTCCAGGCAGCTCTCTGTATTCAATCCACCAAGAAAACTGCATTTCTACAGGCCCTTCGGGAGAGCTCTGTTCCCAGACATTTGAACTCCTGGGCTTACAGAGCCAGAATGCTCTGGCTACTGGATCTGAACTCAGCTTCTTGTTTTATAAGAGGGAAACTGATCATGGAAGAGGGTGGGGGACTTGCCAGGTCCCAAGGCCAAGTTCAAGGTTACATCAGGACCAGGACCATGTCCCCACCTCAATTCCATCACCCCCTATCCCATCCCCCGCCCGCCACCACTGCTTCTCATACCTTGTTCCGGAAGGGCCACGGCAGCAGAGCGTCGTACTCCCCTCTCATGATCACAATGAAGAGAGACAGGTGGGTCCTCTTGCCTGTGCCGTCTCCGTTCAGGTACAGGCGCAGGCACAACTTGTAGCCGTACTTGGCTGTGTAGAAGGCTGGAACACAGAAGCCACAGTCAGCTGGGCAGTGCTGGGCTTGGCTGGTGGGAAAGCCAAGGTCCAGCCATTAGACAGCATTAGGTCAGAGACTCAAAGCCGGGAAGGCTGTGGGGGGGGGATGGTGTTCAACAGGACAAGGCTGTTGGAAGTCAGCAAGGCCTGGGGCTGGCAACCGCTGACCGCAAGTACAGCTTAGGGGGCACCCTCAGAGGTTCTCACTTGGTCCCCCTACTGGTGAGGACACAGAGTTTGCATTCCCAGTAAGTTCATAGGAGCTGCCAATGCCACTGGCCCTGGGACCACTTGGAGAACTCCTGATCTATCCAGAAGCTTCTTATACAAACGCAGCCTGGTAACAGAAAGTGGCTGCTCACCTTCACAGCATCCTTGGCAGGTAGCTAGAGATGGGCCTTCTTACCTTCAGCCTTTATTTTTTTTTAAGAGGTGTTTATTTTAAGAGGCAGGGTGACAGAGAGAAAAGGAGACAGAAAGAATCTTCCATTGATTTGTTCATTCCTCAAATGACCACAAAAGCTGGGGCTGGGCCAGGCTAAAGCCAGGAGCCAGAAACTCCATACAAGTCTCCCACACGGGTGCAAGGACCTGAGTGTTTGGGCCATCCTCTGCTGCTTTCTCAGTCCATAAGCAGGGAGCTGGATGTGAAGTGGAACAGCTGGGACTTAAACTAGCTATCCAATATAAACCTTGCAGGCAACTCCTTTAAATTTTTTTTTCCCCAAACACTGGTTTCTTTCTGCTGTCCCAGGCTAAGTGGTGAGAGTCTCCGGGAAGCTGGGAGTGAGGGGGAGCTGTCAGTCCCAGCAGCCACTGCTGGCCAAGGACAGTCCCTGTCCCCAGTAAGTCTGCCTTGCAAGTGTGGGTTCTAGCACGTCATTTTCCGATGACCCTTCCCTGGGTGGGGCGGGTGTGCAGGGGTGAGCAGGAGGGGGGTGGCGAGGGGCGGGGCTCACAATCTGACTCATGCCTGCCTGTTCCGTGTCTGTGGAACAGGAAGCCAGAGGCATTGCTTGTTTTTCCCTCCAGGGAAAGAATGGTAGAGCAAAGGCGTGCTGGTAGGAGGGGAGAGCTGCCCAGGGCTGTTTAGGCCTCGGGGCTGTGTAATGCTGCTCCTGGGGCCTGGGACAAGCAGCTCGGCTTTGGGGCCAGCCCTGCTCCAGACTATGGGAGGCCCCGGACTCCCCTGCCCAGCATCTCCCCCACACAGTCCAGGGCAGAAGGGGAATCAGTACAATTGCCCCCTGGGTATCACAGAGGAGCTGATGAGCAGGAAAGGTGTGAAGCTGGGGTTGAAGCCTCAACCAGCAGAAACCCACTGGTGCACACAGACGCGTGTGAGTGGGACTGGGGGGAAACCATACAGATCTGAGTCCAGCCTGGCCTCAGTTTGTTCATCTGTGAAATGATATTGAAACATCTCCAATCCAGCAGCAGCCCAGGGCCTGCTTGTGGGAACCTTCTACGTACAAACACAGGTGTAGTCGTGTTACACAAGTCACTGCGCCCAGCCCAGGGAAGCAGCAATGGTGAGGAACTGGTCGTGTTTTCACAATGCCACTTGTTGCTCCCCACGGTCACACATGATGCACGTGCTGGTCTAGCCTATTCCTGGGCTTGCCCAGCTCGTTGGCTCCCTGACAGTCGGGGCCCAGATATCCACCTGTGCACGCTCACCACTGGCATGCTGCCATTCACCCGGCGTGGGCTCATGGGCACCCTGTCCACAGGAAGCGCATAGCCACCTGGAGGCTTAGGCACAAAGGGACTGCCCTTCAGGGAGGATGAAGGGCTGCTCAGAGCCACACAGCACAGCAAGCTTTGCCTAGTGGCCTCTTAGCCTGTCTCCTCCACACTGGGACCAGAGGGATCCCAGCCTAACTAGGGTCTCCGTGACCATCCCCAGCATGGCTGCACGCCCAGCACTGTTCTCCCGGGCCCTGGCAGGTGCTACCTGGGGAGAAGAGGCTGACGGTCCTGCCGCAGGCTGACTCGTGACAGCGCCTGGTGACGTTGGTGATCTTCCACAGGAAGGTGCCATCGAAGGAGGCCTCCTCCATGAGACGCAGGCTCTGCTCCAGCTTGCCCAGGGCCTGGTCTTTTTGAGCCAGGGTCTGCTGCAGCTCTACCACCTGCGGGGCACAGCTTTCAGCTGGAGGCGGAGGTGGGGAGGGCAGGGTCTGGAGATGAGTCTTCCTGACCAAGCCTTCCTCACATACTTGCCTATACCGCCTTGGCCTGGAATGCCTTGTCCTGCCTACTTCAGTGGCCAACTCCTTCTCACGCAGTATCCCTCCCCCGAGTTCTTACCTTGCAATGATTTAATGAGCTACATTCTTCCGCTTTACCTGAGCTACATTCTTCTGCTTTACCTCTACCCCCGGCCCCTGAGGGCTGGAGCCGTGCTCACTGTCTGTGGGCATCCTTGCCTTGCCATGGTTGCTGCTGGCAGGCGCCCTCACTTTTCACTGGGTCTGGAGTCACAGAGACCAGACTTGGCCACTCCAGCCCAGTGCCTGGCCCTTCTAGTGGGTTTTCCCAGTGAAATATGGAAGGAAAGCAAGGCCTGCTCTGGTAGGGAAGCAAGGGATGAGTGTCCTTAAAGAAAATTTAGTCCCTGAATCTACAAAAGAGGAGGCTGGGGGACTGAGAGGGAAAGTGACTTGCTTGAGCCTCAACAACAGCTCTGGTGCAGTAGGAGATTTAATGTGCAGCAACAAACAAACAAACAAACAAACAACACTGGCATGGGAACAGCTCCTCTAAGCACAGTGTCTGCCCTGAGATCCAGAAGGGGTGGATCCTCTGTGCCAGGGACTGTTGCAGAAGCAAGTCCTCTGGGGACTGGCGGGCTCAGGAAGTTGGGGTACCACACTGCAGGCATGCAGAAGCCTGCCAATCCAGGCCTGGTTGTACAGGCACAACAGGATGCATGCTCAGATGCACGGGCGAAAGTGCAAGGCAGGGCACTTGGCCCAATGATGGACATAACCACAGACTGTTCCTCTCTCAGGGGCTGCCGTGGGAACCTGAGGGCAGCTTTGTCTTGCATGTCCTAAAAGGCAGGACCAGGGACACAAGTAGCTTGTGATAAGGAAAAATTCACTAATAGCGAAAAGTGACCAGCAATGGAATGAGCTGTCCAAGGAAAAGGAAGGGGTGTCCCATCACAGCAGAAGTTCAAGCAAACAGACCAAGGGTCTCAGTGTGGGTGTTTGACCTTGGTGCTAGCATCTGACTGAAGACTCTTCTAGAAAGCTCTGGAAACAGGGGGACCTGGGTTTCAGTGGAGGAGCCCCCACTCTGAGCAGGGAGAGTGATCAGGAGAAAGACTTGTGAGCCAGCCTTAGAGGAGCCTTCACCTCGCACACTCACCCTCTGCTCCAAGCTCAGGATGCGTTCGCGGTCCAGCTGGCTCTGGTGGATGGAGGCGGCCAGTGCCAGGTGGGAGGCCTCTACCTCCTTGTTGAGCACAGCGACGATGTTCTCAAACACACGCAGCTTCCCCTCCAGCTCAGTCAGGAGCTTCTCCTTCATGAAGTGCTGCAGGGCCAGCTCCTCTTGGCTCTCGGAGCAGGGTGCCCGGTAGCAGTCCACCTCCAGGTCACCCGCCACCTCCACGGCAGCCTGCAGCTGCAAGTCTGACAGATTCCGCTCCAAGGCCATAGGCCCGGACCCCAGGCCAGAGCCCAGCTGAGTCTTCCACTGCTTCATGAATCCCAGCAATAGGTTAAGATGGGAGGCCTGGGAGGTGGCCTCGTGCTCTTGCAAGGACTCTGCATTCCCCTGCCAAGACAGCGAGGCTGGTCAGTGACCACAGAGGTAGAGGAGTGGCCACAGAGCAGCGGGGAGCCCCACCTGTCACAGGTCTGTTCACTCAGCAGCTGTCTGTATGATAGGGGAGAAGGGTTTGCAGGAGAAAGGGTCTGCATCAGACAGGACCACACTCAGTAGTATCCCAGGCCTGAGGGCAACAGTCTTGCACAGCCCTTACACCAGAGAGTGATTCAGGACCAAGGAGAGAGACACAGGGCCATTTTGGTGCTGCTAGACCAAAGCTTAGGTGGTATAGGAAGTACCACAATGAGTTAATAGTGAGATTTGTATCTTGAGAAAGTCGTTATTTATAAGGGACAGCTCCAGGAGGAAAATTCTGGAGGGGTTGGATGGGGGACCCAAAGGTCTGGGGCTGAGGAGGCCAGATATCTTTTCTCACAGGTAAACACTCACCTTGAAGCAGCAGCCAACACCTGCGAAGGGGCACCCGGCTCCAGCCTCAGCCACCTCCGGAAGAAGCTGGAAACGAGAACCGTGTCACTGGATCTTATGGGGATTGCTATGGCCACCTTCAGGGCTCTTGCCAGAGAGGAACCAGACAGGGTCGCTTGATTGCACCCCTGCTGCTCCCTGTGGCCCCTTTGTGCCTCAGTTCCAGTCCCTCCCTTTGAAAAGGACCAGGGTTTCTGCGATGACCCAATCAACATGGCTGCTTGTCCTGTCAGAATACATTCCATTCACTGTTGGGTTGTCTCCCAGTCTAGGGGCTCTGGGAGGGTTACGGTTGCATTCCCAGCACCTTGCCCACAGCAGACACATAGAGAATGTTCCCCTCCTCCTGAAGTCTGTGAGGACAATGCTTCTCACCATCCCCATTGGTATCCCTTCTTGTCCATCTATCCTTCACTGTGGTATGGCAACACCACGAGGAAGTGAGTCAGGGCTTTGGGCACCTGGGTCAACGGGACCAGGACTCGTGGCGCCTGGTTCCACGTGCAAGTTTCTCCATCTCCACTACATAGCCTTCACCTTGACCACAGGACGGCCTCACCTGAAGCTGGGAATCAATGCAGCGGAGGATGGGATCAGACTTTGGGCAAGAGATGGGGCTCCATCCCAGGCCTGTCCTGGTGAATTTCTGGTAGCCCTCATGGCCTTGCGGGAGTGGCCTTGCTGCTTGCAAATGACTAGGAATGAAACTTGCAGTGAAATTTCCTTGGAGGAGGAAAGAGCAAGAGCGTGACCCAGATGGGAGCGCCGCGAACACTGGGCCTTCTGTGTTTGCATCTCCATTCTCTGGCTGTGCAGGAACCTCACTGGCCACCCTGGCCCTTCATGGCGCGTCACTCAGGGTGTCAGAGGGAGGCCCTGGCTGGGAGACCTGAGGGTACCCCAGCAGGTGGGTGTTGAGAGGAAGCAAGCAGCATGTGTGCCACTGCTGTGCAGAATAACGAGGCCCGGGGCATGCCAGGCACTGCCCACTCTGCTGGGCCATGCCCCAGGGGCTGGCCAGGCTTCTGGCTGCCCCAGGGCTGTTTCTGCTAGGGAGATGGGAAGGGACAGGGCTGGGTCCATGTATCAGACCAGCTTGCTCTCTGCTAACTTCTGCTCAGCTCAGCTGCCATCTGCTTCAGGAAGCCTGTCTGGTTTTTCTGGGTGAAAGTGGTCTTGCCTATTCCTCTTTTTCTCATAGTAGTTGGTGGTTCCAACACTTCAGGCCGACTGTTATTTAAACCCGCATCAGCCATGTGGAGGTTAACCCTCCACACAGAAGCCACAAGGAGGAGATGCTGCCAGCCCAGGAGCCGGAGTTTGCCCCTGCCTCTCACTTGGTGTGACTTTGGTGTGACTTTCGGTGCAAGAAGGCCTCCTCGCAAAGCCTCGAGGTATCACCAACCATTGGAATAGAGACACCACGACCATCTACCGCATAGGATGCCACTGTGATGAATGCAAACATCAGGATCAGAAGTGTAGGATCCAGGAGTTCATTTCCAGGTGTCATACACTTCAGGAGACACAGATAAATGGAATATATGCACCCCAGGGGCAGAGGGACCAGGGACAGGCTCAAGAAAACCAGGGTTAGTGCCTTCTCACAGGTCAGGGCTGTCTCAGAGGACAAGAAGATGACCTGCCCTGTGGTGGCCCCAGACTTCAGCTTAATACAAATAAAGAGCAAACACTGCCCTAGGCAGAGTCCTCCCCATGTGGAGGACTCAGTTCCTGCGTGATGAGGCTCCTGTGTTGGAAAGGACACAAAGGAATCTAGAACCAAAGGGCAACTGCTGGGGGTGGCTGGCACTCCTGGCATTTTCTGATTCAACAGTAAGTGAAGGTAGTGCTTGGAGGCCCTGGCATCAGAGACCAGCTTATTTCTGGCTTGCACATACGGGCCTTGGAGGGCAGCGAGAGTGAGAAACCACCCATTTGCGCAGTCTTGCCCAACAGAATGGTATGTGATTTGCCAGCCATAGCAGTCGTCCACTGCTTTACTGTCCCTTCTAGGGAAAGATCACTGTAGGCTAGGACGGAGACTCTAAGGAGGGCAACATTAATGGCCCTCTGGCTGAGCAAACAGGCCGTGGCTCTGGACACTTCTAGGGGGCTGTATTGCTTGCTTGCTTGTAGGGGGCTGTATTATTAACAAACGCAGGATGAGCACAAACCGATAAGCAAGTGAACGAAAAGCAGGTGCAAAGATGGACACTTTTGGGCTTAGCCCAGCTGCTCTCCTGGTGGGGGATCCCTTCCTGCAATCCCAGGAGGGAATACCCAGGCAAACTTAGGAACCACCACTTGTGCAAAGTGGTGACTTACAATCAAAAGTCCCCTTAAAGTTCCCACCAGGGCCGGGAATCAGTGGAGCCCCTGGGTTTTCTCGTGTGTGGCTTTTTGCAGATCAGGCTGCTGACCCTACTTCCTGCAGGCCCCTCCCCGGGAAGCAGGTCCACACCAGGTTCAGAGGGGGTCTGTCCCCTAAGGATTCTATCTCAGAAGCTCCGACTCCAATGTGGTGATATTGACCTCTGTTTCTCCTTCTCTTTCGGTAGCTTGCCTTTGCAATAAAAACAAATATATATTTTTTTTTAAAGAGTGAGTCCAACCACGGAATTGTTCTATCTTTCTGTCCGGCCCTATGCTTTCTCTCTTGCATGTGTTCCCACCATAGCGGTGCTTCTCCCCGGAGCCACGCTGAGGTCAGTGTCATGCTCTGGGACCTCCACAACTGTGCACTGAATAAACTTGTTTTCCTTACCAAGTTACCCAGTCTCAGGCATTTCGTTATAGTACTGAAATGGACTAATACAATGGGGAAGCCGGTAGGGAGGGCAGGGCTGGTATTCCTGGGAAGTCTGCCTGCATCAGACGCGTCCCTGCCCCATGGCACAGGCAGCCTCTTCTCCCCCTCAGATTTAGGGCAAGATTCAGGAGCCTAGGAATCCCCAAGGTCCTCAGGAGCTGTGACATGGCAAGGAAACAGCGTAACTGAGAAGATGGGGGCCAGGCTCCTCTCGCTGTCATCACATTTTACTTCAAGAAAGGTGCAAGCGTGAACGCCATGGAGTAGAGATAGTTACGTATGTCTTGCCTATGCTATTTAGGCTCTGTGCAGTGGAAATGTGTTGCTTTTGTCAAGAGGAAAGAATACAACAAGTTAGAAGCAGCAGCCAGGAGCCACTTCTGCAGGTGGGCCCTGAGACTGGGTCTGAATGAACGCACTGATAGGACAGAAGATGGTACAAGCTGGGGGTAAAGACATTGCTAGGTAAGATTAAAAGCAGGCTTTGGCAGGGGTGAAGATGCCCCCACTGCAGATTGAAGTACCTGGGTTTGACGCCCAGCTCCAGCTCCTACCCCAGCTTCCTGCTGATGGGGGCCGTGAGAGGCGGCAGGGGCTGCTGGCTGTAGGTATCTGTGTCTTACTGCTAGTCTCTGAAGAAGGCCAGACCAGGAGGCTCAGGATGCTAATCCACAGGAATGCTCTATCTAGAGTGTCAAGTTGGGGGCAAATGCATTTCATTCTTACTGTCATTCCCCCGGGGGGCCTGCCAGTGGAGGGCTAGGAAAGCCCTCAGAACCGGCTCGGCCAGCGCAGGAAATTCCCCTGAGTTCTCTGAAAGGCAGGGGCTGGTGTGAGACAGGAGGAGTAGGGGGGACTCACAGCCTCAGGTTCAACAGCGTGAGGGCAAGCCGCCCTGGCCACTGCTGACTCACACCTGGACAGCCCCAGCGCTGGGGAGACCACGCAGTGCCTCCTGAGCACCTGGAAACACAGGACCCAGGACTCGCCTCCAGCGCCCTCCTAGGACGCTTGGCTGCTCACATCCCCCCTTCCGCCCCCAATCACAGCTTGTTGCAAGGGGAAACTTTGGCAGAAATAAGTCAGGCATCTCAAGGTGGGGGCAGGGAGGTAGCTGAGCAGTGACATTTTTGGCCTTGAGACTTCCCTGTAGGGAGTGGGGGGGACCCCACGTGAAAGGAAGGGTATGTTTCAAACAATGATTTCTATGTGTTTGGATTCATGGACCAATACAGGTGGGTTTTTGTTGTTATTCAACTGAGACATTAACGTAAAAATGTTATCTTTAAATTTTTTCTTATTTATTTATTTGAGAGCCAGAGAAACAGAAAGCAAGAGAGAGTTTTCATCCACTGGTTCATTTCCCAAACACCTGCAGTGGCCAGGGTAGAGCTACGCCGAAGCCAGGAGTTGGGAACAAATTCAAGTCTCACACAGGTCGCAGGGACCCAAATTCTGGAGCCATAACCCCTTGCCTCTTAGGGTCTACACCAGCAGGAAGCTGGAGCTGGGAACTGGGAGTTGGGTGCTGAATCAAAGTCCTTGGATATGGGTGTCAACAGGCCTTGGATATGGGTGTCTACACTAAGTTCCAATCCTGCCCAAAACTTTACCACCTGCTATCATATCATGTCATCTACACAAAGACATCTATAGGAAGGACACAATCTCCCAGTAATGGTTGATTCTATCAATCAGTGGAAAACATCTAGTTTTCTTTAAAAAACAAAACAAAACTTCATTCTAGTTTCTTCATTCTTGGTTCATCTTGTCCCCCCATGGTTTTGTAAGGAACTGGTGAGAGTGGCTGATTTGTGGCTGGCATGGGGGACCGTCTGGGCTGAAGAGAGCGTCCCTGAGCCACTCCTCTTTCAGTTGGCAGGGCTCCGAGTGCTGCACTGGGGTGCCTAGGAAGGTCTCTGCCCACCCTTCCCGTGCTCCTCAGGGTGCCCCGGAGCTGTGCCAACAGTGGCTTTTCCCTGCTGGAAAAGGGCGGGTAGGGGCAGACAGAACCTCCTAGACCGACTCTTTACCAAGGAGCAGACCAGCAGTTTTTTTGGGCTCCAAGTTCTCTGTGCAAGCACCAAATGGCACTGCCCTAGGGAGCCAGTGACCACGGAAAACAGCCAAGGGAGAGGGTGTGGCTGGCTCCCAAGACAGCTTCTCTTAAGGATACTGCGATTTGAATTTCCCATCATTTTCATGTTACCCCAATATCATTATTCTTTTGATATTTTCTTTTCAGCTATTCAAATATATACAAGCTCAAGGGCTGCCGTAAAGCAGGTAATGGGGTTAGAGCTCGTCTTCGTTGGCCCCCTGCCTGGAAGTCATTGTCACCCTCATGGTCTCTGTCCCCCAGACAAGTCAGTGTCTAGGGGGCCTGGTCTTCTGCCACTGTGAATACCAGCCTCTTCACAGACACATTCAGGGCAGAAATACATTCAAAAGCACAAGGGAGATGCTAGCCAGCGGCCACGCAGGTAGCCATCTAGCTGGCCTCAATTCAAGACAATCCGAACAACGGAGGGACCCTGTTTCATGGCTTTGCCGATGTACCTTTTCCTGTGTCCGCAGACTTCCTGGGCTCGCAGACTGGAGATCGTCCCCTTTGCAGGTGAGACAGATCCGGTCCTCGCTGTTCCTGGGAAAAAAGGGAACAAATCCCCTGGGTGAGACTCCATGCCCCTTGCACTCTCCTGCCGGCTCCTAAAGCCTCAACAGTGCTGGGCATGGTGACAGCTGCCTTAAAGACCCCTACCGACCGAGCAGGTCTGTGATCTGCAATCCTGCAGCCAGCCAGGCTCTGAGCACCTGCTGCTCTTCTGAAGTACATCATAGTCTATCCCAGCCCTGACTTGTCCCACATGGTGCAGTGCACACCTTTTCTTGCAGAAACATTCCCATGCTTGAGAACAGGGTGCTGCCCTGGTTCTTCACTGGAGGAATTACAGGACTTGCTCTTGTAACACCTGAAGGCACCTACAATTCCCAAGCCCTGGCGTGCAGGCAGGGGAATGTGGGCATGCGAGGGCCTGGATCCTTCTCTGGGTCCTCTGCTTGGGGTTGGACTCCCATTTGCTGATGACCCCAGAACTCTTAGAACAAGGAAGGGTCTTGAGACCTAGGCTGGCAGGTCCTAGGCAGGCGTGGCCAGTGTCAGACTGGGGCCTGTGTCACTGCAGGAGAGTGCCCCAGGCATTGCAATTCTGGCTGGGGCGGGGATTGTCAGGGAGAGAAATGAGGCCCCGGGGCATGTGGGTTGGCCTCAGTGGCATGAGTCAGGAGCAGGACTGGGCAGACACTTGGGCCCAGCCCCCTTGGGCCAGCCTCAGACAGCTCCTTCCTCCTCCTCTGACAGGTTGTGGGAGGATGGAGAGGGAAGCCCAAGGACTGCACAAAAGTCCCAGACCAACCTCCAGCCCCGATCTTGCTGGGGAAATGGGCCAGCGCTGACCCTGTCCCCTGCCGCCCCCTCCGCTCCCCTTACCTTCTTGAGATCATGGCCTCCTCCCGTGATGCTCCCACCCATCCCTTGCCCGGGCTGGTCCTCCCACCTCCTGCAGCTGTAAAGCCCCAAGCAAAAGGTCAGGTTAAAGGCTTGTTTTCTTCAGGGAAGTGACCTGGGACCATCTGGCCTTGTCTTTGGACTGTATATCCTTTGAAAACATAGGATGAGAACAGTTCTGATCTGGGACACAGTTCTTGGCACACAGTTGGGGCATAATAGTTGCTCAAGGAAGGATGCTGATGATGGTCCTGGTGTCATACCTTTCTGGGTTATATATATTTTCAACACAAATACATACATAGATAAAATTATATACATATATACATAGATGCATATATGTAATATGGACATATGATACACGTACGTGTATGGACACATGGACGTATATGTCTCTCTAGACTTTGGTCCCCTGTTGCGGGGCTGCTGGCTCACAGTAGCACCAGGCTTCCTCCTCATTATTCTAAGGACTTTCTGGCTCCCATGCGTAGGGCCTCGCATCACCTGTCAGGCAGCAAACAGCCTCTCCGAGGCAGGAGGCCACCAGGCACTCAACAAGCAGGTGCCTCTGCTTTTGTTTCCAGCAACTGTCAGGGAGGCAGTGCCAGGGCCCAGGAAGGGAGGGGGTGCAAGCCGAGACCCATCCCAAGTTTGGCACCGTCACCTGCCACCAGGGCGCCCCATGCCCCGCCCCCACACCCCACTCAGTCTTGGCCCCTCACCTCAGGTTTCCTGGAAGGCAGACTGTGCAGCAAAGGGCCCTGGGCTCCGATGGGTCCTGGGAGGCGGTCGGGGGACACCCAAAGGGAAACTCGTTCTCATCGGGGGCTGGGTGGGGGCTGCCAGCCGAGCTCGAGGCCATCTCGGGGGCGCAGGGAGGTCGCAGGCCGGCTGTAGGAGCTGCTGTAGGCAGAGGGGCCAGCTGTGTAGACGGTGATGAGAGGAGAACCAGCTGGTGGCCCCAAGCCGCCCTCTAGGGCGCGCGGGAGCCTGACGATTTTATCTTCTCCCTGGTGTGTGGGGTTCAACGTCACGGCTGAGTCACCGCAGGGATGGGGGTGGGAATTACCCTCTGTGGTGAGAAAAATTCCCCTGGATGCTGAATGAAGGCTTGAGGAGTGTGCAGTCATTTTTTGGAGTGAGCAAGAATGAGACAGAGCGCGAGAGAAACACCGAGTCAGACTTTCAGGAACCACAGAGGCAGAGCACCACAGGCTTCGCCGGCTCCCCCTGGCTTCCTCCGTCGCTCCCCAGCACTGGGCGAGGAGGGCGAGGAGGGCGAGGAGGGCGAGGAGGGCGAGGAGGGCGAGGAGGGCGAGGAGGGCGAGGAGGGCGAGGAGGGCGAGGAGGGCGAGGAGGGCGAGGAGGGCGAGGAGGGCGAGGAGCCAGCCACAGCCGGCTCCAGCTGGCCCTGAGCAGTCCTACTGTTCGGCCATAGCGCTTTGCCTGGTCGCTGGAAAACCCCAGCATCCTGGAAGCAGGTTCTAAAAGTTATAGGTGTTTTAGAACATCTGGCTGATCTCAGGTAAAAGTCACTTCCGCACTGCGGGTTTCAGGTAGCCCATCTGGAAAAGCAGAGGTTACAAGAGGCTGTGCCCTGCCCGGACCCTCACGCCAGGCTACTGGAGAGCGGGTACTGCTGCCTAGTGTGGCAGGGACCACACACAGTCCCGCCCCCACCCCCGCCCCCTTTGAAGTCTGTGTTGTTTGGAATCAGCCTCTGCCGGGCCCTGTCCCTGCTGCCTGATTCAGGAAGTCACAGGTGGTTCGGGTCAGGCGCCACCACTTCCCCGTCCTGAGAACAAAGCAAACGCGACATCACAGGGGGCTTGCTCTCAGCAGCAGCCCAGTGGGACACAGGTGGATTTTTACAGGAAAAGAGAACCTTGGGAAGCACAGCTCCAGACATGTCTACTGCTCCTAGGGTGAGGTGGAGTGAGGTGGTCCTTCACAGTCCTTACAGCAGCCTGCCAGGAGCTCAGAGAAGCAGCAGGCTGAGTCCATGGTCGTGCAACCCCTGCTGGTGCAGTGGGAAGTCACACCAGCGCTGTGGGGCTGAGAGCCGTGCTCTTCCACCAGACAAACAGGTTGGGTGTGGGGGAGGCTAGGATGATGGGCAGGGCATCCACCTGCCACACCCACTGAGGGGATGGGACAGGTGTTGTGACATAGCCGGTTAAGTTGCTGCTGCTGGGGTTGCCTGCATCCCATTGCCTGCATCCACTTCCAATTCAGCTTTCTGCCAATGCACAGCCTAGGAGGCTATAGAAGATAAGTTGAATCCCTGAGTCCCTGCCAGCCACGTGGCATACCCGGATGGAATTCTGTGCTCCTGGTTTTGGCCTGGGCCCATCTTGGCTTTTGTGGACATTAGGGGAATGAGCCAGGGGGTGGACAATCTCTGTCTTTCTCTCACTCTCTGGCTACATTTACAATAAATAGACATGAAAAAGAGAAAGAAGGTGAACCCTGCATATATTTCTACCCTGTTGGGGCCTTGAATTTTATTATTGTAGGCGTTAGAATCACACAGCTTTGAACTCTGATCCAGGGCCGACCGGTTGTTAATGATGAATACTGCCACAAAGACCCTGAGAGTGCATTTTAAGATTTATTTATTTATTTGAAAGGCATATTATGGAGAGATCTTCCATTTGATCTGCCACCCTCCAAAATGGCCCTGCCCAGACATGGGTTAGGCCAAAGCCAGGAGCCAGGAACTCCTGAGTCTCCCACATGGGTGTGGAGGCCCAAGGCCTTGGGCCACCCTCTGGTGCTTTCCCAAATGCATTTGTAGGGAGCTGGACTAGAAGTGGAGCAGCTGGGACTGAACTAGTACCTACGTGGGATGCCATCATTGTAGGCAATGGGTTAACCTGCTACACCACAAAGCTGGCCCCAGAACTACAGTTTTTGATCTATAAAATGGGGATAGCAACGGGAGCTTCATCCCACTCTCCCCGCTCCAAACCCTCTGTGTGCTCCTGTGGACAGGTACTGTGTGGTGTGGGAAAGGCTTTGCCACCTTACTCAGATGATGGTCCAAACCCCGCTAGCTGTTGCAAATCAGGGACCGGGACTAATGTCAACTTTCGCATCTGTCACCGGAAAGGGAACCTGCCAGGCAGGCAGAGCCTGTCGGATGGTGTCATCTGAGCTTAGAAAAATTCAACAGTCCCTCTCTTCCTGTGGAAGGACAGCAACAGCCAGGAGCTGCAGGCAAAGTGGGCATGGCCCCCAATGGCTGCCTGAGCCCAGTGTCCAGCTCATTCAGTGACCATGATGCCATGCATAAAGGGGCTCCCTTGACTGTATGCCCCAAGCCACAGACTGCCCTGCATCCCCCTGCCCTGGCTTCCTCTTCCCAGGGAGAGGAACCTAGCCCCTCCCCGCAACAGGCTCTGGGTGCTTGTTGTCACCAAATCTGCTCTTGTCAGAAAAGCGAAGAAGATGTCCTGCTTTTGAGTGCTGGGCCAAGTCCTTTTGCAGACCTCACCTCTCCTAATTCTCACTTGAACCCTAGGAAGCAGGGAGTGCCCACATCATGCCCATTTCACAGATGAGGAAACTGAGGCAGAGTCAAAGCACCTGCTCAAGGCTGGCGAAGGGGAAGTACTTCTGAACTCAGAAGCCATGCCTGAATCCAACAGACTTTAACATGTCCTTCCTCCTTCTCTAAATCCCCCACCCCCATCTGCCCTTTGGTCCTCCAACAGTGGAACTTGTAGAAAAGGTGCCCACAGGGGCTTTTCGTGGCAGGCAACCATCTCCCCAAGGTGGTGAGATGCCCAGGCCTGCCCCCTTTCTACCCACCCAGTCCCTTGGCCAGCACCTGGGAAGGGCCCCAGGCCCTGCCTTCAGGAATCACTCACTTTCCCCCAGGGAGCCCCCTTGGGTTGCCCCAGCTCTTTCTTCTGAAGTCCCATCTCACATTCCACCCACGGAGTGCCCGGGGCCAGATGGCCTAGGCTCAGGCCACAGGGCCCAGCTCAGGAGGAGGCCTCCGTGGGTTGCCTGTGGGCTGCTCGCCGGCCCCCTACACCCAGTCGCTGCGCCCCTTCCCTCACAGGTGGCCGTCATCTGGCCACCACCAAACCTCCAGCTGTGAGCAGCAGGGTCCCAGCCTGTTGGAGACTGAAGAAGCCCGAGCGGGGGAGGGGAGGGTTGGGCTCTGCCAGTGGCCGATGGGGCGTGTGGAGCTGGCAGCACGTTGGCGTCGTGGGGTTTGGGGTGCGGAGCCGGGCAGGGTGCAGGGGCAACCACCTTTGGCGCAGCCATCCTCCCTGGCCGGGTCGGGGCGGTGACCCAGTGCCCACATCTGAGGCCGTTCCGGGGGAGGAAATGTTGGCACCCCGGTTGGGGAAACCGAGGCCTGGCAGGTGACCACGCATACTAACAACCCTGCCTGTCTGCTGTCTCGCGTGGGAATAAGCTGCGAAGTTGCGGGACCCACGCCTTAGCCCACGGGGATTTCTGTGCGAGAAACTCAGGCTGGTTGTCCACGCTTGCCCTACGTGCTCGCTCGGCTAGGAACTTCCAGTCAACCGGTGCCTTAGGGAGCAATTTCTGTGTTTTGTCCATGCACACGCCTGCGCGCAACAAGGGACCCAGATCCTAGATACACGGCACTCCGCGTGTGTGTGAATGGAACATTGGGGCAGACTTTCCACGTAAAAGTTACAAGCAGACTTTATTTTTGCATTCCACAGTGAGACAAACGCCGGCCTTGGGGTCCTGCCAGGTTTGACCTTCTGGTGACGCTGTGGTATTCTTGCTGTAGCATCGTCTTTATGTCTTGAGGCCCAGCTGCATTCTGGGAGCAGGGGACTGGGCTAGCTTTGACTTCCTGTGACTTTCTGTTTTGTTTTTTGAACCTGGGATGGATGGGAGTCTCTCCTGCCTATGACAGCAAACTGCTATCTTGAGCTCACAGTGGACAGGCCTGTCCAGCAGGACCCACCAGGCCTATACAGCAGGACCCGCCTGTTGGTGAGGAGAAGTGTGGGTCCCCTGACCCAGGAAGGGGGGGATGCCAGTTTGGGGACAAACAGGGGTGGTCTTAGGAACCTTTGGAGGTGGCTTCCTAAATCTGAGAGAAAGCAACTGAAGTCTGTTAGGGGCCGGTGCTGTGGCTCAGAGGGTTCAGCTGCTGCCCACAGATGCTGGCATCCCACATGAGCACAGGTTCCTGTCTTAGCTACTCTGCTTCTGATACGGCTCCCTGCTCATGTGCTCTGGGCAACCAATCAATAAAGGATTGTTCTAGACCTTGGGTCCCTGTGTCCACGTGGGAGACCCAGTTGAAGCACCAGGCTCCTGGCTTTAGCCTGGCCCAGCCCTGGCTGGTGATGGAAGGTCTCTGTCTGTCTCTGTTTCTCTTTTTCCTCTGTGTAAAATAAACAGGTCTTTTAAAAACCTGTACTGATTCTTGGGCCCTGTGCAATGGCTCGATTGGCTAATCCCCCTCCTTCAAGCACCGGGATCCCATATGGGCACTGCTTTGTGTCCCAGCTGCTCCACTTTCCATCCAGTTCCCTGCTTGTTGTCTGAGAAAGCAGTGAAGAATGGTCTAAACCCTTGGGACCCTTGAGCCCGTCCGTGGCTCGCGCATGGGAGACCCGGAGAAGGCTCCTGCCTCCTGGCTTTGGATTGGCTCAGCTTCGGCCTTTTGGCCATCTGGGGAGAGAACCAGATAGAAGATCTGTCTCTTCTTCTGTCTTTCCAATAAAAATAAATGAAACTTAAAAAAAAAAAAAGTATTGATGGTTGATGAAGTCCATAAGACAAGGTTTCCCGAGGATTTGCGACCCTGGGCCTGGGCTCTCCGCAGCCCCCAGGCCCCCTGAACCCCTTTTTGCCGCCCTAAGGTAGTGTGAGCCACAGAGCAGGCCATCTGACCTCACTCTCTTCATGTGCCACATCCTGTTTTCAGATTAATGAGCTCACTTGCTGGAAATTTACCAAGGGAAATAGTTTAATTTTGGAAAGTACCAAAAACTTATCTGCAGTCACTTGGCTTCATGGGGGGGGCAGCTCCTGAGCTACAGGGGGTGTCACCGGAGGCTCCCGGAGCGCCCCGGGACAGGCATGAATGTAGAGACTGAGACCCAAACCCGGCGAGGCAGAACCTGACTCAGAAAGGAAATAAACCCTTTTGGAGACCACTCAGCTATACCAAGGAGAATTTCTTTTTCTAAAAATAAGCTTGAAAAGAGAAATTAGCCCATCTGGCCAAGGCCTCAGGTCTGGCGGTTGAGGAACCAGAAAGTGAACACGGGGA